AAGTTGTTCTTGTGTGAAGAAAAATGAACTTTCACTCAATCATCCCCTTAAATTAGTAATATTTATAATTAATTATTAGTAATCAGAAAAAAAGGAAAAATTCAACTCAACCAAGAATTTTTCTATACTGGGAAACATACAGTGTGTATTTTCTCCACTAAAAGACACATGGAATTCTCAACAGTACAGCAGGTTCAGCATCTTCCATTTCTTTCCAGTTCAATCTCTCACTGGATATTTTGAGTGGTTGTGATGAACCTATTGGATTTGAAGAGTCTCTTAATGATCTATCACAAAGTGAACTAATGAGAGCACCACACTTGATGGTGGAATATAAACTTGGTGTACTGTTATACAATGTGCTATTCATGAAAACAGGCTACATCTTGTGTATAGTTGTGGGTTCCATTGTTGCTGTTGTTGTTATAATTTGATGGACACAACATTAAAAGTACTGGTGCATGAAAAATTTTGCCTAAATAGTATCAACAACCCCTTGAAATCATTTGAATCTTTGGTTTATGATCATGCTATAATCAAAAGCATTAAAGGGAAATGATGTTAAAACTCCAAATTAAAATAGCCCTCTATGTCTTTAAAAATTGTTGCTCATGAATATTATAAAATTGTCTATAAGTTCCAATTAAACCTATTTTCTAGGTATTCCGTATATGTAATTTTTTAAAAATCAGTATTTGAATCTGAAAACTTCACAGTTGCATCTTTCACTATAAACATCTGCTATTTATATTGGTGGTATTTCAAATTGAGAACATTATATTTATATACTTAATCTTTTTTCAGTATAGTCAGTTAATACTTATGAGAACAGTATTTGTTGTATTGATACCATTTTAGAATTATAGCGATTATTAGATTCTTTCATGTTGAAAAGTGTAAAAAAGAAAGAAAGTGAGGTTTTTTCCTACCAGCTATTAAAACACATGGCAAAGCAATGAATGAACAGTATAATACCAGGCTCCCAAATCAATGAATAGATCTTTAGAAGAGATTGCTTTGAAAATAACATTAAAATATAGAATAACCGAATCTGATGAATAAATGATCATAAGTCAGTTAGGGAAGGAGTGAATAATGCAACAGAGTGTGCAGAAATCAATAGCCCCTGCTTAGACTATCATCCAAAGTCTTTCTGTTGCCGAGCTATTTTGGCTTATCTACTTTTCCCACCTCATTTAATAACCCTTTTGGCTCACTCTGTCCCACCTTCGGGAAGCCATCTTTCTGTCTCTCAAACATGCTAAGCTTGTTCCTGCCTCGGGGCCTTGAGGACCACTTCCTCTGTCTGAAGGCCCATTATGTTCAAAGGACACCTCCTTAGAGATGGCCTATCCCTGAGAATCATGCTGGAATAGCACCTCCCACACCAGGCACTCTATTAAGAACACTGTCACTCTCAAAATTACCTTACTTAACATGTTAATCGTCACTCTGACTCCAAATGCAAGCTCCCTAAGAATGAGGACCTTATTTCCTTGTTTCTGAGTGCTTAGTGTCTACAAGAGCTCTAGATACTTAGTCGGTAGGGACATAAAAAACGTGTATATGTGTGTACACATGTCTGCATGCATGCATAAGTATATATATATATATATGTACATACACATATGTGGATAACTGTGTATATATGTATATATATATATGTATTTATGTATATTCAAAATGAAAATAAGGATAGCAAACTAGTCAACATGAATTTGTCTTAAATTTTGTATTAAATGTACATTTGAATAAATAAATATTCATCATAATGAATGTAGTGGAACAGCAAGATATAAAGATTTATTAATAACAGTGAGAGATCTATTGTTATTCATCATCATCATGTAACATCATCATTTAATTATACTCTTATCCTCACCACTTATTTTTATCATCTTCATCAACCACACTGCAAATAGAGCATGGTTAAAGAAAGGAGACTCTTTCAGAGCTAGCTTTCAATTCCAATTGAATTTATACCCTTTTACCCACTTTGACTCCTGCTTTCCCTACAAATTCAAGGCCCCAGTGGAAAGCAGGCAGAGGTGACTAATTGGCAAATGATTCTCCTTATTGAAAGACCAGCCTAAACTTGCCCATTTTAACAGAATCTGGGGGCTTTTTGCCTGACCTTGTACCTGCTTTTCTCCCACCTCTTCCCACTGTTTCCATAATGCCTTCCATTCTGCCTGGTCACCCTGTCTGCTATCATGTCTTACCCTAGTTGTTTTCCCATCCCCACTGTGAAATGAGGGGTGTTTTGTGGGGAGCCTGCTATAAGGATTATAGAGGGAGAGAAAAACTGTATCGTTGTGACTGAAATAAGAAAATGATTGGGTGAGAATCTGTAAAATACAGTTAAAATTTTGGAGTTGGATCATTCAAGATCTGAGAGCTGCACAACACAATCTTGTCTTTCAAAAAAAAAAACAGGCTATAAATGATGACCTCCTTCTTCATAATTTTCTTGTATATTTTACATCATAAAACAACCAGCCAAAGTCCACAGGAGGGTGTGCATCTTTGTGGGGTGTGTCTCCCTGTGTTTTTTGTCAGGTCACTTTTATAAAAGGATTGATGGAAATTTTTTTTCAATATTCTTTCATTGTTTGGGGCAGTTTAATTATTCAACTTTGGAAAAACAGGAGAGAGATCTATAGGAAAAGACTTGGCCTGAATTTCTCAGGGTCTATAGTTAAATGTCTTTATGGAGTTCTTCTTTGTTCCCCCTGAGGAATGTTTCACAATAAAACACAACACCCCTCGCAGACTTCTGGAAAGGTCCAGTGTAGCCTCAGGACTAGTTTGGCCAGGCCAGGTCAAGCCATATGTTTGGTTTTATTAATATATCTGTCCTAAAGAGTGAAATTTCATAATTATGACCCGATAAAGAAAATTTCATCATTCTGACAAAATAAGAACCAGCTGTACTTTTTGCTTTTTAACCTTTCACATTTTTTATCTTCCTCCTGTAGAGATTACAACCAAAAGTTGAACTCTGGTATAATCTGGTTGTAGATAATTTTGTTTATTAAACATTCTGAAGGCTTATCATATAATGATACTCTTCCTTCCATTCCACTCTAAAAATAAGTATTATTGGATCCATTCTGCAACTGAAATCCCGCTACACATAGACTTATTTAATTTTCCTCGAGGTTAAAAAAAAAAAAAATCTACTTGTCCCCCAGTGTTAGACTTGTTTCATAAGGAGGAAACAACAACAACAAAAAGATAATATTCAGTTTTTACCTTCAAGCTCCTAAACAATAGAACCACAATAATGACAGATACTGAATCTATAAAATAAAAAAATAAAAACCTGCCTACTCACCACTGTTTAGAACCCTGGCAAACAAAGGGAACATACTGCATATTTCTCAGCCTAGGCAAACTTTATTTGTGCCATTATTTTATCCTCTATACTCCTGGTAATTTCAAATTTGCATCGAAATAAGAAGAAAAATGTCCAATGCAAGTTCCTGCCAATATCTGGAAAAAAAATTCTTGCTTCACCCTCAGTATTCCAAGCTTCATGCTCTGATAAGTATGGCCATATGTGTTTCTCCTTGAGAACAGAGAGTTTTGGGACTCAGATTTCTCCAAGGAGGTGAAGCAGTTTGAGCACAATGAACATGAATAAATATCACTCATTTGAGTACAAAAAGTCAAAAGAGTTCCTTTGGGTCAGGAACCAGAAAACAAGGGACTATTTAATAATAATGAATACAAAGGAGATATGGGATAGAGTCACTGAAATGGAACACCTTAGGAACCCAGCTTTTCAAATCTTGTCTAGTAAGGTAGCCACTAGCCATACATAACTTTTGAACATTTGAACTATGACAAATGAAGAACAGAATTTTTACTTTTTTTTTTTTTTAATTAAGACAGGTTCTTGCAAGGTTGTCCATCAGACTTCTGGGCTCAAGCAAATCCTCCCCCTGCCTTGGTCTTCTGAGTAGCTAGGACAACAGGCTTGTGCCATTGCACACAGCTAATTTTATTTAAATTGATTAATTTAAATTTAAACGGTCACAAGTAGCTGGTATTTATTCAGAGAAGTTCAAGCTATGCTTCTTACATCATTTTAAAAATTAAACTGACAGTCTTCAGTATAGCTGGTTCCCCACTCTAGACTGCTTAGGTTCCAATTCTCACTCTTGGTCTACCTGTCTGATCTTCTGACCTCAAAACTGTCTTCCTGAGCTGTTGTATAGATGCTTTTAGTAAATCTGTGATTCATCGCTGCCCAGAAACTCAGGCCTGGAAGAACTCTGGTCTCTCCCCATTAGCTTTTGATAGGAAATTGAGTACATTTTTTAAAATTAGTGAAAAAGATTAAATCTAGTGATCTATCAAAAGCCTCCTCCAAGTCTGAGGATGGAGCTCAGTGCTAGAGCACTTGCTTAACGTGTACAAGTCCCTGGTTTCAATCCTCACTAAAAGGGGGTAAAAAGTCATCTTCCAGTCTAAAATTCTAGGTAAACAACTGACTATTTCTAAAATCATACTGTAAATACAGAATATTTCTACTACTCTACGCCTCAACAAAACATGCCCCTGTATCAAAGCATCAAATAGACACTAGGCATTATTTAGCATCACATATCATACAGCTGATTCTCTGAATCATTAGTCAAAAAGTATACTTTTATCTCTTCTGCTGTTATTCAGAAAGACATTTTAATGCCCAAAGTATTATTTTAATATCTGTCATTCATAGGAAACTCATATATATTCTCATATAATATTGAAATAACTCTTGCCTCCATTGTACATTCTTAAATCTGTTACAGCTATGCCATTTCAAATGCATATCTATTTCTTATTATTTACCAGATTTTCTACTTTCTCGTCAATAGATAAAACAGTTTTAAATGCAGTACTAAATTGGTATAGATAACTAAAATGTAGTAAGAAAAATTTCACAGAAGGTTAGGAAATTAGATTCAATGTGTGTCTCACAAAAGAGAGGCAGCTCAACAAACACTTACTGGTTTAACGTGACATCAAGAATGAATGACGTCCCAAAGGCATCAACCTGGAAGCTTGCCTGGTCAACATGAGTCAACTGCAATATCAAAAAGATAAAAGGCGCTTATTAGCCACAGCAATCAGATGAGTAGTATTGCTTATGATTGTTCAAAAAGGTTTACAATATCACAATGAGAGAGCCAGTTCAACATGGAGAGTAAAGGAAAGCATACTAAAGCAAAATTTGCACCTTTTAGAAGCCAAGTACTCACCAATATGAAGTGAACTACCACCCAATCAAGGAAGCCAAGTGCCCTACTTTTCTACTTTGTCTCAAGTGGTTAAACATTCCCTTTCTAAGAAGGCTTTACTTCATTAATCTTATTCTATATTGAACGACTAGCTGCTCTAAAATTAAGCCTTTACATTCAAAAATGAAAACATGCTCAATTCAAGAGTGAAGTAATATAGTGAATATGATCTACGGACAAAGATACAACCTCTACAAACTTTTTATCATATCTCGAATGCATACTTTAAAAATAACACTTCTGGGGCTGGGGTTGTGGCTCAGTGGTAGAGCACTTGCCTAGCATGTCTGAGGCCCTGGGTTTGAGTCTCAGCACCACATATAAATAAAATAAAGGTCCATTTACAATAAATATATAATTTTTTTAAAATAAAATAAAATAAAAGTAATACTTCAGCTCAAACTTACCAAACCTAATTGCATAGAGGTTTCCACATCTTCCTAAGAAAAAATCTGAACCTCTGCACATCTAATGCAAATATCACTCATCAAAATTTTCTTGGATAAAAATAATCAGTTTTCTATGCCATCTTACAAACTCCCACAGAGAATCACATGGGCACTCTAAAAATATATAATGTCATCAATAACATAATAATAATATATTGAATTATCATGTGTATTCACTGACTATATATTCAGGGAAATATGTATATGAGTAAGGAAAACTATCTTCCCTCCCCTGCCCCCATACTCTGGATCAAATCCAGGGCCTCAGACATGATAGCAAATTCTCTACCACTGAGAAACAACTCAAACCCTTTTTATTTGAGAAAGGGCCTCATCAAGTTGTCCAGGCCTTAAACTTGCAATCATTCTGCCTCAATCTTCCAAGCAGCTAGGATTATAGGGACCACTGCACCCTGCCAAAACTGTCTATTCTGTTTGACTCCCCAAATACTAATAGAAGCTATATCTAAACGGTAGGACTATGAACTACTGAATTTTTATGTGTCTCTATAGCATCCAATTTTCTGAAATAAACATGTATAACTCTTACAAGGAGAAAAACATACAAATATTATTTTAGAAAGAAAAACTATCAATAACAACTGTATGTATATAGTATGTGAGGCTGATGGTGGGGCTGCTCCTGAGAACTAGCACATCATGGAAGACACATCCTAGAATTCAGTGGGGCAAAAAGAGAACCTCAACCACCCCTAGGTTTTCCTTTGCAGTAAACTATGGGATTAGGTGAGCAGAGAGAGCTTACTTAACAATGATGAAGATTTTTTGTAAAGAAAGGATAATTCTTCTGTTTCAAGCTTTTGGAAGAGACTGGGGTGGAAGAATGTTATACCTCAGTTCCTAACATATTCCCATTCTCATAAAAACCCAAAGATGAAGAGCCTTCTCTCATTTGCCATTAACTTTAACTCCTCACTCTTCCCTCACTCTTCCTAACCAACACCAGGTTTTTCTTAATACAAAACTCTTCTCCCCTAATTTCAAAATCCTCCATAATTACCTTCCCAACTCACTCCAGGCATAATGGCCCAGAAGCTCCCAAGCACCCCCTTATACCCCATCTACACTGAGTTCTCTCTTCTGTAGGTCAAAAGCTCTGCTTATTCCAATTTTTTCAATGGCTTTTGTTCACTTTTTTTTTAGTTAGAAATATTTTAATTACAAGAAAATCAAAGGATTGAAATGCAGCAGGCATTAGGAACATATAAACCAAGAAGGTAATAGCTAACAGACTTCTGCCTCTAACTTTTTTACTGAGGACTTTTCTGAACCAAACCCTTCAACAAGGCAGTTTCCCAGAATTGGCCCTACCCATTTTAGGACCTAGGTCAAGTTCCTCCTTCTAATATCTGCTGTAGCTACCATAACAAAATACTCTAGGCTAGATGGCTTACACTACAAAAATTTCCTTTTTCACAGCTGTGGAGGTTGGAAGTCCAAGATTAAGGTGTTGACAGATTTGGTTTCTCTTCTCACTGTGTACTCACATCGCCTTTTCTATTGGACATATATATCTGATGTCACTTCCTCTTCTTATGAAGGCATCAATCCTATCGAACTAGGGACCCCAATTTTATGATCTCATTTAACCATAATCATCTCCTTTTAAAGGCCCTATGTTCAAATACAATCATATTGGGGGTTACAACTTCAACACATGAATTTTGAAGGGACACAATTCAGTCTATAATACTTCTCTTCCATGGGCTGGGGCTGGAGTTCAGTGGTAGAGCACTTGCCTAGCAAGTGTGAGGCAATGGGTTTGATCCTTAGCACTACATAAAAAATAAATAAATAAAATAAAGGTATTGTGTCCATCACAACTAAAACTTATTTTATTAAAAATTTTATTTATTTATTTATTTATTTATATTTTAGCTGTAGATGGACACAATATCTTTATTTTATTTATTTATTTTTATGTGGTGCTGAGGATCAAACCCAGGGCCTCGCACGTGCTAGGCAAGTACTCTACCACTAAGCCACAACCCCAGCCCCTAAAACTTATTTTTTAAAAATACCTCTCTTCTATGAAGTCTTTCCAACCTCTTTCCCTCCTCCTCCTCCTCCTCACTTCAGGTCAGGGTCACATCACAGCTTCATTACTGACCAGCATTAGGTACTTAAGAATTGTTTTATATATCACCTGGATGCATCAATGAATACGGGCACAGCTATAAATTACCTGCATACTAAAATACCATCTTTCCATCAGGGTTGTTCTTAATGCCATGTCAATGGATGTTGTTCCTTCTGCCTAAAAGCTCTTTGGATCATGTTTTGGGAACAGCCTGAGGAAAGCTATGCTTACCAGAAGTGATGTCTCAATTAAAATGAATCTCTTCCTCCTTTATTCTTCTTGTATGACTATTATAGCTCTTATCTCAGTCTCCTTTGAATTACAAATGTGAGCATTATAAATCTGTGGTGAAGAGGGCAGAAAGCCCAAGCTACTTACCAGGGCATCATAATTAGAGCTCAGATCAAGGTAATATTACATTCTGTTTTGGCAAGGTATTTACTAATTCTGTCTAGTTCTCTTTCTTCTTTTTATTTTTTATTATTTTAATTTTTATCTTTTTGGTACTGGTTATTGAACCCAGGGGTGCTTTACCACTGAGCTATAGCCCACAACTTTTTATTTTTTATTTTAGGGCAAGGTCTTACTAAGTTGCCAGGGTTGGACTCAAACTTGCAATCTTTCTACTTCAGCCTCTCAAGTCTTGGGATCACAGGCAACTTCTGTTTTTAATCAACATGTGATAATTATACAAGTTCATGAGTTTTAGTGTGTTATTTCAAAATATTTACAAAATGTGAACCAATCAAATTAGGGTAATTATATCTCTAGTTCCTTACTACTTCTTTATGTCGGGAGCCTTTGAGTTCCTCTCTTCTAGTTCTTAATAAAATATATACTAGGTTATCATTGTAAAGTGGGACTACTGTATAGTAGGACACTAGAATCTATTGCTCCTACCTATTGTGGTACCTATTATCCATTTCTCTATTCATTATCCCCTTCCTCTTTCCAACCTCTAGTAAGTACTATTCTACTCTCTCCTACTTTAAAATTAACATTTTTAGGTTGCATATATGAGACAGAATATGCAAAAAAAAATTTTTTTTTCTGTTTGTGGTTTATTTCACTTAACATAATGTCCTCCAGTTCCATCCACTTTACTTCAAGTGAACTCTTTTTTATTTTTTTTATTTTATTTTTCCTCCAGCTCCATCTTACAACTGGTATTTTATTTTATTGGCCTCAATCATGTCCCAAGGACAGACCCATATATTTAAGTTCAAAAGAAAATCTACTGACAGCTAGCTTAACTGCCATCAGTAAACAACAAAACAAAACAAAAACAAAAAATCTTGCATTAATTATCAACTGAACTATATCTCCAGCCCAAACCTTGCATTATTGAAAGAAAAAGGAACAGGGGCATGTTAATATAGTTTTCAGTAAGGCAGGCTTCTTCAGACTGTACACAGATGGGTTCATTCACAAACTTCTGAAAGTGTACCAATTTCTGGAAACTATTTAGATTTGGGGGGGAAAGGTGGTGAAGAAGATTGGCCATGTTTCTGCTCATTAGAGCAGAAGCTTACCTTCTAGTAGAGGGATATAGAAAGTGAACAATTAAATAAAAATAAATTAGAAGGTAAAATACACTATTCTCAGATTTAATAAAATAGAGTAATGCTGTCAAGAATGCCCAGGAAAGATGGCATCTAAGGTGGTCCCAGAAGACCTCTCTGAGGAGGTGACTTCCAGGGGCAGCCTTAATGATTAGAAGGGATCTAAAATGAACAGAATAAATGTCCGGCAAGGTGCCCACACCCTAATTCCTAGACCTGTGAACATGTTATATGTCATGTGGCAAAAGAGACTGTGCAAATATGTTAGTTAAATTCCTTGAAATGGAGAACTTATCCTAGATTATACGGGTGGGCCCAATCTAATAAAATGGGTCCTTATAAGAGGGAAGTAAGAAAGTCACAGTCAGAGAAGGAGAAGTAATAGTCAGAATGAAATAAGAAAGAAGTGATAAGTCAAGGAATGCATGCAGCCTATAGAAACTAGAGGTGAGGAAATAAAAATCTCCTCTAGAGCCTCCAGAAGAGCACAGTAAAGTCCACACTTTCATCTTAGCCTTATAAGACTAATTTCAGGCTTCTGACCTCCAGAATTGTAGGACAATAAATTTTCATTGTTGTAAGTCACAAGTTTCTAGTAATGCGTAATAGCAGCAATAAGAAACTAATACAAGCTCAGAGGCATTGTCCCTGAACATTTAGAAAAGCAGCTCAAA